GGGGGGGGGGGGGGGGGGGGGGGGAGCACGCGCGCGGGCCAGCCGGCGAGTGTTGGCGCCCGTGCCATGGGTGGGTGTGCACATGGGCGGAGCGGGCTGTGTGTGTGTGTGTGTGGCTGTTGGTTGCCGGGGGACTAGAGGAGCTTGCCGGAGGCGGGGGCCGCGGTGGCCGCCAGGGCGACGGATGCCACGCCGAGGCCCGGGCGCGAGAGGGCCTCGCTCCGTGGGGGGGAGGCGTCGCGGCGGCGCGTCGGCGGCCGGGCGGCGGCCGTGTTGGACCGCACGAAGTCCAGGTACGCCTGGCGGTCGACAATGTGGGCCCCGGCGGCCGGGGAGGCCGTGGAGGCCAGGGCGAAGACCAGGGCGGCCAGCAGGAGGGCCAGCATGGCGAGCGGGCGGGGGGGCAGCATGTTGCGAAGAGGAGGAGGAGGAGGAGGAGGAGGTCCAGGCGGGCAGGAGGGGTGGGCGAGGCGCGAGGGAGGGGCCGGAGGGCGGGGGTGCCCGGAGGCCGGCCACCGGCACGGCGGCCTTTGGAGTGAGATCCGCGCGGGGCTCGGCGCGCTCGGCCGCCGGTCGGCGTAGCTCCGTGTGGAGCACGGGCGTGTTGGCGGATGTGCCCCGGGGGCGCTGCGGCGTGCATGGGGCCCCGGGTAAGCTCCAGCCCCCTGGGCCATGTGCGTGCGGGCAGATGTCCGTGGCGGCGATTGGAGGCGCGGCCGCGGTGTCGTCGGGCCGGGGGGAGGGGGGGGGGGAGGAAGCCCGGCGCTTGGGCGGGTGGCAAGGGGAGGCCGAGAACATGACACCGGGCCCCGGGCCCGCCCGGGGCACATGCGAAAAGACGAAAACAAACACACGGAAGACGGCCCGGCCGGCGGGGCCGGGCGCCGGGATAACGAGCGCCGCGGCCGGCACCCTCGCGAGCCGGGCCTTTTCACGCCGCCGCCGTCTAGTCACTGGACGCCGGCCGGGCGGGGGAGGACATCTCCGGCCTCCGGGCCCCCTGGGACCGGGGGGCCGGGGGGCCGGGGGGCGGGCGCCGGACGCAGGCTGGGAAAGCGGCCCGGAGAGGCCAGGCCCGGCGTCGTGGGACCAGCCTATGGGATCGAGCGCGGCCGGGCGCGTGGACAGCGTGTGGCGTTGGCCGGCTCCGCTGACCCCTCGCCAAAAAAAGGGGCGCCCTGACCACCGGAGGTCGCGAGGGAAGAGCGCCGGGGCGCCGGCACCCGGGCGCCTACAAGCGGCCCCGCGCCGGCTCGCGCCCGATCTGCCCCGCCCGACCCGGGGGCTGGGGGGGCGTAGGCCGAGGCGACCGACGGCCGGCCGGCCGGCCGACCACCGCGAGAAGGGCCCCCTAAGGTGCGAGACCGGCGGTCTGGAGTTGGGAGAATCTGGAGGAGCACCCGGGCCGGCCGTGGGGCCCACGCACGGGAAAGGATCGGCGGCGCCGGTCGCGCGCCGCCTGCTCTGGGGCGGCGGCGGGGGGGGGCAAGCCGGCACCGTAGACGCCCGGGGCGAACACCCTGCGCGGCCGGAGGCCCGCAAACACCGGGCCCGGAGGGGATGCCCGGACGCACGCGGGGGCCGCGCCGCCGGGCCGTGTTGTCCTCTGGCAACGGGGCCGGCCCCCCTGGCTGGGGTGGGACGAGCGGCGCGTGGTCCCGGCCCGGGCACGGACGGCCCGGCGGCGCGGCGCGGGGGGGGGAGGGGGGGCTCTCGTGAGCGCGGTGCCACCCGGCGCCTCGGGGCGTGAGGGGGGCGAAAGCCGAGGCCGTGTGCTGCGGCCCGCGCCCGGGGGGGGCAGGGCGAGGCAGCCCATGGGAAGGGGCCCCGCGCGCGCGTGCGCCCAGGCTCGGCCCGCCGGCAGTGGGACATCGAATAGGACACATTGCGTGCTGGCGAGACTCGCATACGCAAATATTTCCGCGGGGGCCAAAAATGCGCCCGCCCCCCTCGCACACACAACCCACGCACCGCCGGCGGGTATGGCGCCACCCGGCCGGGGCATTCCCCCAGGGCCGGAACACCAGGCCGGCCGCGGAGGGCGGCGGACCGGCCCCCGGCCAGTGGGACCGAGCGCGGGCCGCCACACGCGCGCCCCGATCGGCGCGGACCAATTCACCCGGCGGGGGGCGGGGGGGGGGACGGGGACATACGGGCCGCGCTCCGCGTCCGTGGGGCGGGGCACATCATCTGCATGGCAGCACGCGCGGCGGGGCGCATCACGGGCCCGGAGCGCGGCTGTAGCAGGGTTCACACGGGTTAAGCCTAAGTCAAGTGAGTGAGGCTTGACGAAGGGTACCAGTGTGATCTGCCACCTGGTTAGTAACCTCTTGGCATGAAGGAGGGGACATACCAACCAGCGGTTCACGGTCGTCTGTTACCAGATGAGTCAGTAACTCGGCTTGAGACGAGTTAGTGGCAAGCGAAAATAGAAAGGAACTCG